AAAGTTCTGGGGATAATTAAACAGTAATTGTTGCTGGGAGTTGGGAGAATGGAAGGAGAGTATTAGCAATTGGAAGGCATTGGAGGCTTTGCTAGGCTGTCACCTAGTGGATTAAAAAAGGAATTCACCCTTTCTGACTGGAAACCTGTTCAGTGATGGATGATTTCCACCTTTTAACACACTTGGTGTCTCTGCAAGTCCCTTCAGGCTTCTTTGACAAAGATGGGAGTCACAGGCTTGGCTCTCTCAAAGTTCTTTAGAACATGTGTCTATTTACCTGGAAAGTAACTTTTCTTGTGATCCACATGCATTTTTACATATTAACAACTCTCTTAGCTCATTCATTTTTCAGCAAACATCTGCTGAGGAGTTATCAGAGGTCAGACACTGCAGGGAAGAAGAGACCTTGCCTTTCTTGTGGAAGAGACATTCATTCTTATAACCAAGAACTGCTTGCTCAGGGTCTGCTGGCACAGTGCTAGAGCTAGAGAATGACTTTGGAGGGTGTTTCAGTCTTTGGGGCTGTTATGGCAGAATGTTATAGATCGATGGCTTACAAATGTTGAAAACTGATTTCTTACACTTTTGGAGGCTAGGAAATCCAAGATCAAGGCACTGGTATGTCTAGTCTGGTGAGAGATCACCTCTTGGTGCATAAAGAACCATCTTTTCATTAAGAGTGAGGACCTCCTGGCCCTCCCTGGTGGCGCAGCAGGTTAAAGCACAGCACTAGGAAGCTGTAGCATGAGTTTGATCCCAGGCCACATGGCGCAGCAGGCCTCTCCTGTCTTGCCCACTGTTACCCTCAGCAGTGTACTTAAGTACATCTGACTGCTCTGCTCCTAACTCTGTCTTTGGTGAATCCTCTCACCTCCTGCATCTCTGGCCAGTACCCCAGTTCTGTATATAAATAATTAAATCTTTTTTAAAAAGTTACATTAACACACACACACACATCCACCTAGAAAGTAGAAGACAGACATACGCACAGTTTTTGAACACAAAGTAGGCAGAGATGAAAGCAGTGCAGAAGAAACCAGATCAAGGAGGTTTTAAATGCCAACCCAAAACAAAGCTCATGACCAATCTATGGTTTAGTTCACAGAACCACTGAGCCTGGCTACTAAGCCTTCAAGCCTGCCTGTGGTCATTAGGAGCATCTTGCTGTACCAGCCAATCAGCCAGCAGTCCTCAAGGGACTGAATCTCTTTCCAAGTGCCTGAGTGTGTTCTGAAAAGAGGCCTGATTGCTTCTCAGAAGCAGTGGATGGCAAAAAGCCAAAAAGTAGCAGGCCTCACTTCTTGGGCCTGGTTGTCCATCCTGGGGCCTTGCAATTTGAGAGAAGTGCAGCTTGCCAGTCAAAATTCAAAGACCAGAACCTCAGTCAACCTGATGGACTCAAAGCCTCTCTGAATGTGTCAACTTTGTCCCCAGTGAGTCTACCATATGGAATTCTATGGTCTGTTAGCTCCCATATTGATTTTCCATGGTCTGCAGCTCTCAAGCTTGCAAAACAGATTTCTAGAACAGGACTTAAGAAGAAGAATTTCAGGCAAGATTCCCCTTCTCTAACCTATCCCTCTCCATACCCCAATCAGGGAAATGGCTTGTGTTCCTAGGAGCAGGGAGGACAGGGGAGAGAACACCAACACCAGTGAGGACTAGTTTAAAGTAACAGAGCTGGGTCATTCATTTTATAGCTTTTTTTTTTTTTTTTTTTTTTTTTTTTTTTTTTTTTTGTCGAGCAGTGACTGGAGTTTTGGAGCCAGATACTGGGGAATTTGAGATGAGTAA